CTCCCAGGACGCACCCCTTGGCAAGGGGGCCCCCCGACCCTCCCGCCCGCCTTGGCCCCAGCCGCAGGGTTCGGGTCCCCACGGGCCAGCCGGGAGCCCGGCTGGAGCTTGAGCTTGTCCTGAGCAAACCCCGGGAGCAAACGCACGCCAAAGACTCCGGAGCAGCGCTCGGCAGAGCGTGTCCCCACTAGGGCTCATCCCACTGCGGAAAACAGGTTGGCCTGGTGGCACCTCCGGAGCATCCCACAGTCCCTGCTCTCTCGTGCGCTCTGCTCTCAGCCCGTCGTCTCGCTTCCCCCAAGCACACATGGGCACCGCGAGGGGAATAACATCCCCAAACTCGCTCCAGGGAACCCTGCGCAAGCTGCTGCCATCCGGCACGGCCCGCTGGAGCCAGCCCCGGGGCCGGGAACGCAAGGGTGAAGCTGCCTGGAATGGGAAAGGGAAAAATAACTGCAGGCTCCATTGCCGGAGGCGTCGGGAGGGAAACACTCGGGCCCTTGTGCGCGGAGCGGAGCAGGGAGGCGGGACAGGGACGCGGGGCAGCCCCGCGGGCCCCAGCACATAAAGGGGGATTCTTTGCCCTCACCCGCTGCCCTCGTCACCCCTGACCCCGCTGCTGCCCACGGACACGATACGGGGACGGGACAGGCTCCGCACAGGGCGCTTTTGGTGCCAGCGCGCTGTCCTCCCACGCCAGCACCACACGGAGCGGGACAACGTCAGGACTGGAGCTGCTCGGGAGGAAAAGGAGGTTGTTTTAACCTCCTTCCTCCTCCGTTAGGATATCGGAGCCCAGAGCAGCCAAGCGCTGCTCCGGCGCGGGACGCGGCGCTGGCGCCTCCAGCTCCCGGATCCGCTTTGCTCAAGCGGCAAAGCCAAAGCGCAGGCGGCCTCGGAAAGGTGGCCGAGGTCTGCGGCGCAGGGACGAACCCCCTGGGGTCCCTTCATTAACGGGCCGAGCCGACTTTGGCCCACATCCTCCAAGGTGCCGCGGTCCCGGTTACCTCGGAGGACCCGGCCCTCCATCCCGGTCCTTCCCTGGCACCGGGGCACTGGGGATCACGAGCCCCGTGCGCGGAACCTGCTCCCCCGTGCAGGGACCCTCATGGCACCTCCCGGCTCCGCAAGTGGGGAAAAACAGGACAATGCGGAGCCAGGTCCTGGGCAGGCCGGATGCCCTGGGGATGGGCACCAGGAGCAGCTGGAGCCCTGGCACGGGCAGGGAGCCCCCATGTCCCCTGTCAGCCTCCCTGGGAAGGGTTAATCATCGAAGACACTTTGTACTTGGGTTTAAAAATACAGCGGCTCCCCTGGCAGCGCGGTTGCAGGCAGCTTGCAGGTACATTTCCATAGTTGAGCCAATAACCTTCCCCCAAGGGAAATTTAGGGCTTTTTTTTCTGATTAAAAGGGGAAAAAATAATAGTGGGGGATTAAATATAGCACAGAACGAGAGAGCAATTAGCAGTTGCTGTTAGCGATGCCGGGCCGGGTTCAGGACAAGCGCCGCGGCCGGCCGGGGAGCGGCGAGGCC